CGTGGAGCCGCCGCGGAAGTTCCGCGGCTGTCAGTGTGTGGCCGCGCGCCGCCGGCCTGGTGGGGACGTGCGTTCGGGCCGAGGCGGCACACACCTTTGTGTACGTCAGTACATATGTCGCCCTCGGAAGCGAGCGTACCTGGAAAGGTGCTTTATCTGTAATCAGCGATTTGCAAAAATGTAATCCAGAGCTCTGGCTCGGTAGAGGAAACAGCACCGGAGAAGGGCAGGGGGGTGGGGTGCTCCTGAACACAAAGCTGGAAGTGTTTAAGCCCAAGCGTACTGGGAAGCAAATATATGGCGGTGTTTGTCGTCTGGTGGGTCTGAAAGGTTTGGTCGATAGGTTCTCGTTTCACATACACACACACACACACAAAATAACAACAGTGTTTCCTACCACCTCGGATGCGGCCTCGGCCGTAGACGTTTACACACTTTGTATACTTCCTGCTTGTGCGTAGCCCATCAGGGCCGTGCAGAGCATGGCTTCGGCGACCGATGATGTTACAGTGTGATTTGAGGGACCGGGTGGTTTTTCAAAGGGGAAACGGTAAAGGAAAATGTGCTCATCGCTAAGGCTCTCAGAGCAGGGATGGAGGGACTCTTCTTAGGTCCTTGTGGAATTCTAGGACCAAAAGCAAGACGCCCTTTGAATTTTAAACTATGACCTGAAAACTTATTTTCGAGTATCACTGTCTTGGAAATGAATGATGTTTCGGATCCCTTCTTGGGTAAAAGGCTGCCTTCCTGTTGTCATCAGGCTGTTTGGAAATAGGTGTAGTCATCCTGGAAAAGCAATACTCTTCCTTTCCGTGTCAGGAACTTGTATTTTCTCGATCCCACAATTATTTGAACAACTTTCATCACCCGGGACTATGGGTGCCCTAATAAACAGCGGTATTTTGGCCCGGGGCGGTGGCTCTCCCTCCTCTGAAGAGCCCTGGGCTGGGGCTGAAGGAGCAGCCAGAGGCCTTTTCCTGGCTGACACTGGAGGGGCGGGCGAGGCAGAAAAACTATCTGAGGGAAGAAGGAAGAGGGACTGGAAACTCCCTTCCAAGCAGCAGAAAGAGTTCAAAGCAAGCATATCAGTGGTGTGTCCTTAGAGCTATTTTCATATATGAGAGAGGGAATGTTAGATTAAACAATGTCACCTGATGGGAATTTAGATTACTGCAGGTTTCCAAAACACTATGCAGAGTGTACAGGGAAACAGCACAAAGAAAGCAAGTTTTGCGCTTCTGTAGGATTCTGAGGCAGGTGCTTATTTACCACAACCTAGAACCTTCCCAGTGATTTTATTTCAAACACAAAAGGAGCATATTTTTTTAAATTTTTTTTTAAATACCTTTAAGAGTCGACTGATGACCTGGATATCACTAAACACAATCCTTTCTTTGGTAAGCAATCTCCATGATTAGGGTTCCTTATCTGAGCTACCCAGAAACTAATCTGATGTCCTAGATTGTTATTTCTGGTGCTTTTGTTTGTCTGTTTGGTTTTATTGTGGAGCTAGGGGTCAAGCCTAGGGCCTTACACAAGTTGGGCAAGTGACTGACCTACAAGAGTATTTGAAGTTTCATGGGGTGGCTGGCCCCTTGCCGCTGTAGATGGGTCTTCTCCAGACAACAACTAGGAACTAAAAACTCAAACCACTCTTCAGTGCCTAAGGACTTACCAGCCCCTCAGATTCCTAACAGAGTCATCTCCAAACCTATGGCCACAGACCTGTCCTCCCTGTAACTGATCCCAAATCTTTGCTGCACAAGGGAGGACCCATCTTCTTGAGGTTCACACATTCAGGGCTTCCAGGCTGAAGTTCTCACACCTTATTCCATACCAAGTTGTTTCCTGAAATTGTTCATTTTTTTTTTTGTTTCGCCTTATCACAATGATAATACTAATCCACAGGTTTATAAGGTGTTCCTACATGGGAATTACTTCATTTGGATATCATGATAAAAATCACTAATGTTGCAGACTTGTACCAAAAATTTTTTGTAGTAAAGCATACTTTACCATTATTAAATCATGCTCACTGAAGAGAGACTTGAAGTACTTTTAGACCAAAACAACAACAATAACAAAAAAATGCCTTAAATATAACAAAGTCTTGATTCTCCCAACTACAGGGGTATTAATGAGGTCATATTTTGATCACTTTAATTTCTGTATTCTAGAACTTATGTGAAACAACAGTGTGGCTTGGAGAGTAAATACTTGGATAAAATACTAGGATAAACGAGTTGCCTTACAAAATTCACATGTGTTATTACTTCACCACCCCCACCACCCCCAGCCATTCCAAAGTATCCAGCACACAAGATCAGACACTGCACCAAACTTCAAGAAAAAGTTAGGCGGGTCAGGGGAGGTAAGGACAAAGAATTAACTATTGTTACTAATTTTCAGGGCTTTGCCCTAATCTCAAAACTTTCTTTTGAATGTCAGTATGTTTCTAGAAAGGGGAAATTACTCTGTTACAAAGAAATTCTACAGCAACTGGACACATTAAGAAGGTTCTAACAATGAGAAATCTCATACTAGTAACTGTAAGCAAATTACTTGGATGTTGTGGAGTGACTACAAAAATCCTACCTTGTTTTACTGTACTAATCCTACACCCAGGGAGTGGGGTTTAGCAAAATTGCATCCACCTCTGCAACTTTAAAGACAGAACATTTTAAAGTT